TACTTTTTTGAGATGGAGTCTCACTTGTCTCCCAGGCTGGAGTGCGCGCGTGCGATCTCAGCTCACTGCAATCTCTGCCTCCTGGTTAGAGCAATATTTGCATCAGCCTCCTGAGTAGCTGGGATTACAGTTGCCTGCCACCACACTCAGTTAATTTTTTTACTTTTAGTAGAGACGGGGTTTTGCCATGTTGGCCAGGCTAGTCTCAAACTTGTGACTTGATGATCTTGCCAGCTCCTAACCTCCTGGGTTGCTTGATTACAGGCATGAGTCACTGCTCCCGGCCAATTTATACATTTTTATGTAAAATAATAAGTTTTCTTTTGTATGTTAGTGCTTTTTTCTTTCAGACTGAAGAACTGTCTTTAGCATTTCTTGCAAGAAGGGTCTGGTGGTGGTGAATTCTATCTGGGAAACATTTTATTTCCCCCTTAATATTTTAATGACAGTTCAGTTGGATAATACTTATATCCTTGGATGACAGTTTTTATTTCTTTGAGTACTGAAAATATCATTCCACTTCTCCTGTCCAGTATGATTTACTGAGAAGTCTGTTGCCAGACATATTGAGGTCTTTTATATGTTGTTTCTATTTCTCACTGGTTTTAGGATCTCTTTGTCCTTGACCTTGAGGTTTGCTTATTAGATGACTTTGGGATAGTCTTGTTGTTGAATCTGCTTGATGTTCTAATGCCTTCTTGCACCTGGATATTTATCTCTTTCTCCTGTTTTTGGCATTTTCTGTTATCACTTCTTTGAAGATTTCTCACTCCTTGCTCTTGGTCAGCTTTCCTTGAATATCATTCTTAGATTTGGTCTTTGGAGGTAATTTTCTCATCTTCTTTCTCTTTTCTTTTATTGAGGCAGAGTTTTGCTCTGTTGTCCAGGGTGGACAACACATGGCACAATCATGGTTCACTGCAGCTCCTCAACTCCTCCTGGGTCAAGCAATCCTCCCACCTACAGGCGCCAGCCACCACCCCAGCTGAATTATTGTATTTTTTAGCAGAGATGGGTTTTCGCCAGGTTGGCCAGGCTAGTCTCAAACTCCTGACCTCGGCATCCGCCCACCTCGGCATCCCTAAAGCATGGGGATTATGGCGTGAGTCACCACTTGCCCAGCCAAAACTGCTATTTTGAATTCCTGGTCAGAGAGCTCACAGAAGTCTAATTCTCCTGTCCTTTGCTTGAAGTTTTTCCCCTTCTCTGTGGCCCTGGGAACGGTCTCGCCTTGTACCTGAGCTCTTGGGTTGTTGCTGGTGAGGATTTGGAGGGTATATTTGGTTTTAATGTGGTGGGATTGATGCTAACTTGGAACTTTTGTTTGAGTTAAACATGCCTATTTATAAGTGTAATATAAATAGTAAAAAAAAAAGCTCATCTAGATAGGGTCACTTCTGAATTTTTACTTTGTCCTTTGGGGAGGTCATATTCCCTCTGTTTTCTGTTGTTTCTTGTGGTATATATCTATGTTTTTGCAATAGAGGATTATTTATTTATTCTAGTTTTCTCTGACTTGTTTTGCTTTTTATTGAACATACTTGCTTAGTGAACTGTCACTGCCTCCTGTGGCTCTAGGTGGCGCGTTGCTTCCAGGTTTAACTCTTCTAAGTGATCAGAGTTCTGCCTGTCTTAAATGGAGGAGGTCCTAAAGAGATTACCCCAGCAGTGAGGAAAGATTGTCTAGGTGTTCGTGTCCAGGGGACTCCTGGGGAACTCCTTCCAGCATGGTGCTGGTGAACAGACACCTGATTTGGCATCTCCCTTGGCTGAGTTACAAAGAGGTTTCTGAGGCTGGGGATGGTAGTCCTGCCTACCCTGTTTGTTTCTGCCTGTCCTTAGGCGGCTCCTCTGTTCAGCAGTCAAACGATGGTACCCATGGGTTAAAGCATGGAGGTCTCCTGCCTGGGAATCCAAGTGAAGTTGGAGGAGTGGGTTGACCACCTCTGGCCTCTACTTTTTTCCATTGTAGAAACCATGATGGGGAGACTGGTGCCAGCGTAATAGGGGAGGGGCATCATGGATAAGGGAAGTCTAATTCTCTGTCCTTTGCTTGAAGTTTTTCCCCTTCTCTGTGGCCCTGGGAATGGTCTCGCCCTTGTACCTGAGCTCTGGGTTGTTGCTGGTGAGGATTTTGGAGGTGCATATTTGGTTTTGGTTTTCTGAGGTGGGGATTGACGCCTAACTTGGAACTTGTCATGTGTTTTTAAACACATCTATTACTAAGTGTATATAAATAGTAAAAAAAAAGTATATTTTGTATGTTTTCTTTACATATATAATTTAGTAGATGTTTTAAAATAAAAATGAGACAATATTAAAGAGTATGAAACAATAGAAAAATTAAAATGAGATGAAATACGAACAGTTGATTTCTGTGTATGTGTATATACATACACACACTTTCCTTTTAGATACTACAGTTTACTCTAAAATATGAAAAATCAGAAGACCTTATCAGGTACTTGGTTTCAAAAATAAACTATAAATTTGAAAAGGCAGAAGTAATGCCTTCCAAATGACATTGACCATAATGCAGAAATTTAAAAATGAAAGATAACAAAAAATGTATCCATTTGGACATTGAAAACATACATTGGAGTCTTAGCTTAAAGAAGAAGTAAAAGTAAAAATTGCAGCATAAAGAAAGGAAATGACATTCAGCGTACAGTTTAGAAACTTAAAGGTATTTTGATAGAAACAAGAAGAAGCAAATAAATGAGTTTAATACAAATGTAAGAAGCTGGAAAAGGACCAAAAGGCCAGGCATGGTGGTTCATGCCTGTAATTCCACCATTATGGGAGCCTAAAGTGGGAAGATCACGTGGGGCAAGGAGTTCAGGACCAGCTTGGGCAACAGAGTGAGACCCTGTCTCTACAAAAAGTACAAAAATTAGCCAAGCGTGGTGGTGCTTGCTTGTAGTCCCAGCTACTTGGGAGGTTGAGGCAGGAAAGGATCATTAGAGCCCATAAGTTCGAGGCTGCAGTGAGTTGTGATCACACCATTGCATTCCAGCCTAGGTGACAGAGCAGGATCAAAAAAAAAAAAAAAATAAGAAAAAATAAGAAAGAAAGGGAAAACAATAAAATAGCTCAAAGAAGTTACCAAGAAAATAAGTAAACATAAAAATGCAGGTTAACAAACTACAAAACAAAGAAGAGAAGTGAATTAGTGATCAAGGAAAGCTAGTTATTTGATGAAAATGAAAATAGAAAAATATTTGGCAAGAATAGTCATAAAATAACATAAGAAACAAAAATGGCTGGGCATGGTGACTTACACCTGTAATTCTAGCACTTTGGGAGGCCAAGGCAGGAGGATCACTTGGAACAGCCTGGGCAACATAGCAAGCCCCATCTCTTAAAAAAAGAGAAAAAGAAAAAGAAAACCAAAAGTAAGACATAAACACAGGTGTGGAGGTGAGTATGTAATTGTAAAGAAATACAATATAATCTTTGGTAAGAATAAAATTAGGAGAAAGGTATGTGCTTCTCTAGGAAGGACATGCCTGTTATTAAAAAATGTTTAAAGAATAAGGAAAACCTTTGATTCACTAAACTGCAAGTCACTTCTCGGTAGTTTTAAACAGCATTTACTTTTTTGTGTCGGTATTGTTTATTTGGAATTTTCCTCTATAGTTTGTTTAAATATCAGTAAAGATCTGAATGGCACTGTGTTTTCACTTCATCATTTGTACATAGGATGTTCACTCATTGTTAAGAAAGCATTTTGTTTAGGAGAGAGTGTCTGTGTACTGTGGTGTACAATGGTAGATGTAATTATCACTGAAGGTCACCGAAATGTGAAAATCCCTGGTAATGTCTTGACAGCTGCGTGAAAATAAAGACAACTCAAATGGGAACAGTCAGGGCCTACTTAGAAAGTGCTTGCTAAAGCAAGAGAGTCAGCCACTTTTGACAAAGTGGGAAAGCTTTGTAGTGAACAAAAGGGAAGGCGTCAGATGTGCTGTTGACTGCAGGCTATTGACATGGGACACTGGAAGTGTCTAATAAGCATTGAGGCATCTCATATGACTGGTTATGGGGGTACATTTGGCTTTCTTTGCTTGGTTCTGAGTTCGAAGCTAGGGCACAAATTAGAGAAGCTGCATCACTGCCATGTCCTGACTGGTGTGGGTTGGTTACTACAACAGTTTCTGGTTTGCCTTTCTGAGCTGGTTGCTGCAGAGGGTGTGGGTCAGACCCTGCTCAGATTCCCACTGACAAATGCAGGCTTGGGAGTGAATGGAGAGGAAGCCATTTAATCGTGGGGCCAATGAGTCTCTGCCTTAATCATGGGATTTGACATTCAGTGTTCTATACACTGATTGACTGATTTCTTTCTTTACTGAAGTCAGATTTATATAATATAAAACTAACCATTGTAAAGAGAACGACTCAGTGGCAGTTGGTAGATTCACAATGTTGCTCAATTATCACTTCCATCTAGTTCCAAACAATTCCATGTCAAAATACGGCTCTGTACCTACCTGTTAAGCAGCTCCTTCTTATTTCTCCCTCCTCCTAGCCCCGGACAACTACCAGTGTTCTTTTCATCCGTATGTATTTACTTACTCTGAATGTTTTAAATGGAATCATACAATATGTGACCTTTTGTGTCTGTCTCTTTTCCCTAAGCATAATGCCTTCAAGGTTCATCCACGTTGTAACAGATGTTATGATTACTTTCTTGTAATTTTCTTTTTCTTTCTATTTTCTTTTCTTTCTTTCTTTCTTTCTTTCTTTCTTTCTTTCTTTCTTTCTTTCTTTCTTTCTTTCTTTTTTTTTTGACACAGGATCTCACTGTGTTACTCAAGCTGGAGTGCAGTGGTGCAATCTTGGCTCACTGCAGCCTTGACCTCCCAGGCTCAAGAAATCCTCCCACCTCAACCTCAACCTCCTGAGTAACTGGGACTACAGGTACATACCACTACACTTGACTAATTTTTTGTTTTGTTTTGTAGGGACAAGGTTTCACGATGTTGCCTAGGCTGGTCTCGAACTCCTGAGCCCAAGTGATCCTCCTACCTTGAGCTCCCAAAGTGCTGGGATTACAAGCACAATAAGCCACTGTGGCTGGCCACTCTCTTGTAATTTCCTTTCAACCTTTAAGTGTATTTTTCTCATGGGAGTATGGGAAGAACAGTATGGTGATCTGGGCACTCTTTTTATTTGGAAACATCTGGAATTATCCAAAGACATGAAAGGTAAGGCACTGGTTCCAAGCTTTCTAGGTACAGACTGGAAACTAGTCAAAGCGTTAAGGCATACGGGACTTAATGACCCTACTATTAATGCTTTTGCTTTTGGAGGCATTCCCAATCCTGCATACATTTGTTAGTGACAAGTCTGGTGGGTTGCCCAGGATATGTCTATTTTGAGAGATTCTGCAGTGGGCCTGGGACAGAGAGGGAAGCACTGAGCCTTGGGAGGGTGAACCAGAGGGTGCAGTCTGCTCTCCTGTCCTTTCAGGGAACTTTCAAGTTGTATCTGTTGCATCCCTCCCATTTAGAATCTAATGTTCCAGAATTCATATTTATTTAAGTACTTACCATTTGAGTTCTCATGTAGTATGGCAGTTTTATGTCTCCTGTAAAGCATTCAAAAATTTAAAGACCACTAAATCAAACTTTAAAACTTCTGTGTATCACCGGATATGGTGGCTCACGCCTGTAATCACTTGAGGTAGATCACCTGAGGTCAGGAGTTCAAGACCAGCCTGGCCAACATAGTGAAACCCTGTCTCTACTAAAAATACAAAAAATTAGCTGGATGTGGTGGCACATGCCTGTAATCCCAGCTACTCAGAAGGCTGAGGCAGGAGAAATGCTTGAACCTGGGAGGCAGAGGTTGCAGTGAGCCAAGATTGCACCACTGTACTCCAGTCTGGGCAACAGAGTGAGGTTGTCTCAAAAAATAATAAATAAATAAATAAAACCACTGTGTATCAAAGAATATAATTTATAAAGTGAAAAGGCAACATACAGTATAGGAGAAAATATTTACAAATCGTATCTCTGATAAGGGGTTTATGTGCAGAATGTATAAAGAATACCAAAATGGCGGTGTTCAGGTATGAGGCTGGGGCTAAGCTGAGGGATTCAGGTGTGGTGCGGGTGGGAACTGAGGAAGTGCCCAAGGATGTCAAGATGACAGCATCTATGCATGGTCAACCTAGTCCTTCTCTAGAAGATGCAAAACTCAGAAGACCAGTGATCATATAAATCATAGAAAAAAATTTTGAGTACCTTAGAAAAGAAATGACACCAAATATATATCAAACGGCATCATTTGGGACAACAACTGGTTTCTCTGGAATATTCTCAAACTTCCTGTTCAGACGCTGCTTCAAGATAATATAAGCAAGGAAAACTGTGTTTTCAGAAGCTCACTGATTGGCATAGTTTGTGGTGGTTTCTACCCCAGTTATTTGGTGTTTACTAAAAATGGACATCTGGCAACCAAGTATCATACCGTTCCACTGCCACCAAAAGGAAGGGTTTTACTCCATTGGATGATGCTTTGTCAAACGCAAATGAAATTAATGGCGATTCCTCTAGTCTTTCAGATCATGTTTGGAATATTAAATGGTCTACACCATTGTGCAGTATTTGAACGGACACTTGGGAAAACTATACATGAAGAGTAACCAAAAAAATGAATGGTTGCTAACTTAGCAGAATGAAGTTTTTATAAAAAGGACTCAGGCATTGCTGAAAGAGGTAAAAGTAACTGTGAACAGATAATTTGTTTCTGTGCCTTTTGCCTGGTATATAGCAAATACTCAAAAAATATTCAATAATTCAATCAATAAATATAAGTTTCATCTTACATATAAGATATAGGTTTTATCTCCTGATTGTGTGTCCATTTTGCTTGGTACATAACAGATAATAAATATTCAGTATCAATAAATGTAATAATAATTTTAAAAAAGAATTACAACTCAACAACAAATAACATTAAAAATAGCAAAGGACTTGAATAGACATTTCATCAAAGATGGTATACAAATGGCCCAGAAGCATATGTAAAGATGCTCACCATCACTGATCATTAAAGACATGCAAGCCAAAATTCTGTTGGGATACCACCTCATACCTATTAGGATAGCTACTATAAGAAAAACAGAAAATAACAAGTGTTGGTGAGGACGTGAACATATTATAACCCCGTGCACCTTTTTGGGGATTGTAAATGGTGCCACTGCTTTGGAAAGCAACATGGAAATTCCTCAAATAATTAAAACTGCCATATGATCCAACAATCCCACTTCTGGGTGTATACCCAAAATAATTGAAAGCGGGGTATTGAAGGGATGTTTACACACCCATGTTATAGCAGCACTATTCAGAACAGCTAAGAGAGAGAAGCAACCCAAATGTCTATCAACAGATGAATGGATAAGCAAAATGTGACTTTTCCCTCAGTATCTATAGGGGATTAATTCCAGGATACTCTGCAGATACCAAAAGCCACAAATGCTCCAGTCCCTTATATAGTGTGGCATAGTATTTGCATATAATCTAGGCACATTTTCCCATATACTATAACAGCAGTCCCTAACTGTTTGGCACCAGGGACCGGTTTTGTGGAAGACAATTTTTCCACAGACAGGGTCAGGGGGATGGTTTTCAGATGAAACTGTTCCACCTTAGATCATCAGGAATTAGTCTGATTCTCATAAGGAGTGTGCAGCCTAGATCCCTTGCATGTGCAGTTCAGAATAGGGTTCATGTTCCTATGAGAATCTAATGCCACTGCTGATGTGACAGTGGCATTACCGCTCAGGCGGTAATACTTGCTGGCTTCTTTGTTCATCTCCTGCTCTGCGGCCCAGTTCCTAGCAGGTTAAGAACTGGTACCCATCCACGGCCTGGGGCTTGGAACCACTGCTTTGAATCCTAGGTTACTTATAATACCTAGATTCCTAGGTTACTTATAATACCTAGTACAGTGCCTACATATAACTTTATTGGTGTGGATTTGACTTAGTATTTGACTCAGGGAAAATTCAAGTTTTGCTTTTTGGAACTTTGTGAAATTTAACGTATTTTTGAATATTTTAAATCTGAGTTTGGTTAAATCCACAGACACAGAACCCATGGATATGGAAGGCCCATAATATATACACAATGGAATATTATACAGACTTAAAAAGGAAGGTAATCCTGTCTCATGCTCCAACATGGATGAATCTTGAGTGCTAAGTGAAAGAAGCCAGTCACAAAATGACTGTGTGATTTCACTTACATGAGTAATCTAAAGTAGAAAAATTCATAGAAACAGAAAATAGAATGGTATTTACTAGGGTGTGGAGGGAAGGGGAAAAATGGAGAGTTGTTTAATGGCTATAGAGATTCCATTTTGCATGATGCAAAAGTTCTGGGGATCTGTTCCACAACATTGTGAATATATTTAATTGTACTAAAATATATGCTTAAAAATGACCAAGTTGGTAAATTTTGTTGTGTGTTTTAATATAATTTTTTTTTTTGAAACAGGGTCTCACTCTGTTGCCCAGGCTGGAGGACAGTGGCACCATCTTGGCTGACTGCAACCTCAGCCTCTTGGGCTCAGGCGACCCTCCCACTTCAGCCTCCCAAGTAGCTGGGACTACAGGCATGCACTACCACACCCAGCTAATTTTTATATTTTTTTGTAGAGATGAGGTTTTGCTATGTTGCCCAGGCTGGTCTTGAATTCTTAGGCTCAAGCAATCCTCCTGCCTCAGCTGGGATTACAGGCATGAGCTACTGCATCCAGCCTGCAATTTTTAAAACATCAAAATAAATGTAAAGGCTACATCTTAGATTTTTTTTTTAACTAATTAAAAATAGTAAAATTTTCTCTTATAGCACAGTGGTCATGCCTGTGATCCTAACACTTTCGGAGGCTGAAGTGGGAGGATCACTTGAGCCCAGGAGTTTGAGACCAGCTTGGGCAACATAAGGAGACCCTCGTCTCTACAAAAAAATGCAAAAATTAGCCAGGCATGGTGGCATGTGCCTGTAGTCTCAGCTACTCAGGAGGCTGAGGAGGGAGGATCACCTGAGTTTAGGAGGTCAAGGCTGCAGTGAGCCATGATTGCACCACTGCACTCCAGCCTGGGTGACAGAGCAAGTCCCTGTCTCAAAAAAATAAAATAGTTTAAAAAGCGTAAGCCAGGCCGGGCGCGGTGGCTCAAGCCTGTAATCCCAGCACTTTGGGAGGCCGAGACGGGTGGATCACGAGGTCAGGAGATCGAGACCATCCTGGCTAACACGGTGAAACCCCATCTCTACTAAAAACTACAAAATCTAGCCGGGTGAGGTGGCGGGCGCCTGTAATCCCAGCTACTCGGGAGGCTGAGGCAGGAGAATAGCATGTACCCGGGAGGCAGAGCTTGCAGTGAGCTGAGATCTGGCCACTGCACTCCAGCCTGGGTGACAGAGCAAGACTCTGTCTCAAAAAAAAAAAAAAAAAAAAGTGTAAGCCAAATTGTGAGTGAATGAGAGAGAGAGAAGTGGGGGTGGGGTGGGAGGTGTGTGTGTGTGTCTAGATAAATATTTGATCAGTTTGTGGAGGCAAATGAATTTCATCATCAGGGCAGATTTATTGGAGAAAGTTTTGCCATGGTGAGGGTATTTCCTTGGGATAGGAATGAAGTAGGAAATACTAATTTGTGACTCTGGTTATTTAAATTATTCAATGACTATCTGCTTAGATGTCTTTGCATAGATAATGCAAATTAGATTGGGAATTGCCAGAATTTGGTGCCTGAACTATATAATTTTTAAACTTTTTAGATGAGAACATAATTTCTATTTCCAGCTCTATTCAGACACTGAAGACTTAGGTTGGCCAATTCAAGGTCACCTCTTTTTTTTTTTTTTTTTTTTGAGACGGAGTCTTACTCTGTCACCCCGCTCTGTCACCCAGGCTGGAGTGCAGAGTGCAGTGGCACAATCTTGGCTCACTGCAAGCTCCGCCTCCTGGGTTCACACCATTCTCCTGGCTCAGCCTCCCAAGTAGCTGGGACTACAGGCGCCCGTCACCACACCTGGATAATTTTTTGTATTTTTAGTAGAGACGGGGTTTCACCATATTAGCCAGGATGGTCTCGATCTCCTGACCTTGTGATCCGCCCACCTCGGTGTCCCAAAGTGCTGGGATTACAGGCGTGAGCTACTGCACCTGGCCACCTCTTTTTTTTGTATTTGTATTTTGCAACTTTGTTGAATTTATTTATTAGTTCTAACAGTTTTTTTGTGTGTGGAATCTTCTACATATAACATCATAATTACAAACAGAGATGATTTTTCTTCCTTTCAAAATTGGATACCTTTTCTTTTTCTTGCCTAATTGCTCTGGCTAGAAATTCCAGTACTATGTTGAATAGAAGTGATAAAAGTGAACATTCCTGCCTTGTTGCTCCTCTTAGAGGAAAAACTTTCGACTTTCACCATTAAGAATGATGTGAGCTGTGGGTTTTTATAGATGGCCTTTATTATGTTTCCTTTACAGAAACTACCTTCCCATGACATAGTTTCCTTTTATTCCTAGTTTGTTGAATTTTTTTAATCATAAAGAGGTGTTGAATTTTGTCAAATGATTTTCTTGCATCAATGGAGATGTTTATGTGGTTTTCTCCCTTCAATTTGTTAATGTAGTATATTGCCTTGATTGATTTTTGTATACTCAATTATCCTTGCATTCCAGGAATAAGTCCCACTTGGTCATGGAGTATAATCCTTTTAAATTAAATTAATTAACTTATTTATTTGAGACAGGGTCTCGCTTTGTCAAACAGGCTGGAGTGCAGTGGCACCATCTTGGCTCACTGCAACCTCCATCTTCCAGGTTCAAGCGATTCTCATACCTCAGCCTCCCAAGTAGCTAGAACTATAGGCGTGCACCACCATGCCCAGCTAATTTTTGTATTTTTAGTAGAGATAGGGTTTCGCCATGTTGACCAGGCTGGTCTTGAACTCCTGAGCTCAAGTGATTCGCCCGCACTGGCCTCCCAAAGTGCTGGGATTACAGGCGTGAGCCACTGCGCCTGGCCTAATCCTTTTTTAAAAATAACATTTTATTGAGGTATAATTTATATACTTTGAAATTTAACCATGGAAAGTATTCAGTTTGATGAGTTTTAGTTCATACAGTTGTGCAGTGATCATCATAATTTAGTTTAGAGCACTTCCTTCACTCCCAAAAGTTCACTTTGTAGTCATTCTTCATCTGACCTTCCCACCCCTAGGCAACAACTAATATACTTTATATTTTTAAGATTTGCCTTTCTGGAAATTTAATAAGTAAACTCATACAATTTGAGGTATTTTATGTCTGGTTTCTTTGTTTAGCATAATAGTTTCCTTTAAAAGTTTTATTGATACATAATAACGATACATATTTATGAAGTACATGTGATATTTGAATGTATACATACAATACGAAATGATTAAATCAGAGTACTTAGTCTATCCATCACCTCAAACGTTTACTGTTTTTGTGTTGGGAACATTTCAAATCTTCTTTTTTAGCTATTATGACATATACAATATATTGGTGTTAACTATAGCCAACCTACTGTGCTATCAAACACTAGAACATATTCCTTCCATTTAACTCTTATGTTCCTACGCATTAACCAGTGACTTTTCATTCCCCTAGGCCTGCCCTGTTCCCAACCTCTGGTAACCATCATTTTACTTTCTACCTCCATGAGATCAACTTTCTTGTCTCCCACATATGAGTAAGAATATGTGATGCTTGTGTTTCTGTCCCTGGCT